GATCAGTCATCGTCAACAATCCTTCTGGCGCGGCGTCACTGTTGGCTCGAGGCCTTTTAACTTGTTATATATCTTTATACTTAAATAGAATAAATGTTTGAAAAGAAAATTTGACATGATGGCTAACGCCCTTGGTCAGAGCGAATGACGAATTTAGTGAAGGTATTTGCTAAATCTTTCTTATTAAGATCTGAATCAGGGTTTCCCTTGTATACAGGGAAATGCGATTCAAGACTTTTTATTGGCTTAGCCATTATGGTATATGAGCCAATATACCATAAGCTAATATCCGTACATTGTCACATCCGGTTTCTTCTTACAAAATAAAGTCAAGAAAATTTGTCTAATATCTTGGGGGCGTTGCTTTTAAATAAAACAATTATTGCACTCGCGCTTGTCGGATATGAGATGATATTAGCCAACTCGGCGCTACGCGCCTCGTTGACTATCTATCATCTTATATCCAACAAGTGCGAATGGAATAATTGTTAAATATATATGATTCGCCATTTGTCATTCGCTCTGACCAAGGGCGTTGGCTCTTGGTCAGAGCGAATGACGAATTTAGTGAAGGTATTAGCTAAATCTTTCTTATTAAGATCTGAAGAGGGGGAAAGATGTGACAGTTCTTGGTTATATTTCAAGGCTTTATCAGCAATAAATTTTTTATTTGAAATATTGATTACGTCATGTTTTTCCAAAAAATTACTGAATTGCCGCAAGGACATTTTAAAACAAAAACTCACAACAGTCGCGCATTTTATTCATAATGTTTTACCGTCATTTTAGTAGTTTTAATTTTGCTGTACGAAATTTATTCTTTATTTAGTTATCATTTATTTATTCATTAACTACTTTGTTTGACGTCGCATCACTGTAATGAGCGCCCTTTGAATCCTGGAGAAGAGGCGCTATCTAAATAAAATACTGCTATTTATTACTATTATTGTTAAAAATAAGGCTCGCCGGTAATTTCTCTTGAGTGTTTTGCTTTAATGTGAGTTAAATGATTTAAACGTTAAATAAAGCCTGTTAACATTTTAAACCCTAAGAGTTACCACCATCTGATTATTCTTAAAGTAATAATTCTGAGTCAATCATCAGCATCCTGAGAATAAAAAAACAATTACCGCTGACCTGAGAAGCTTTGATTTATTGTTAAAGAAATGTATAGAGAAGAGTACGAGAACAGGGTGTCGCAAAGACAGAGTTATAATAAAGGACGACAAACAATCGATCACCGTTCCATTAGAGTGTATTCAAACGATTAAAACGTTTCACAACAATATCAAGTGGTGGCCATGAACGTGAACAAGGAAAAAAACTAAACCTTGTGTTTCTCGCGTGGGTTACACGAGCAAGATATAATACCAGAAACCGCTGACCGCACGGGTAATGATTACAAACAATCAACTATAATAGGAAATGAAATGTTCTCGAGTCATAACGTTCAACGATTACTCCTTAAGTCATCTCGACACATGGACACAATGGTGCTTTGTGTGCAAAAGGTTAGGACTTCGTAGCCGTACATGGTTTTTGTAGTGAATCGATTGCTGATACGCTATTTTTTATTTACATCACCTTCCAAACTCTCATAAATCAGTGAAATTATATTGAATTTACCTAAACATCCACTGTTTTGTTTTTTTTTCAAAACAGGACCACTATCTCTTTATTTTTTGAAAATATTACCATCCCGTGCCATTTACAAAAGTTCAGAACTTCTAGAACTTTTCAAGGTATTGTTTTCTCAATAGACACAGCCAGAGTGATAAAGGCAACTTAGATTCCACAAATGTGTCGCTTTTATTAAATGTATTACAAACCAAACCGTTAGGAGATGGGTTTAGAATTCCAGTGCAACAGGTAAGTTACAACAACTATATAATCAGAAAGAACTGCGTGCGAGTGTTTCCACTCTTTTTAAGTAAGGAAAGGCACGCACGGGCCTTAAATTGTTAAATTTGCAGCGCTTTTGGAACTTTCAGGCTGCTACTTGCAACATTTGCTGCAGAATGCTCCTTGATTTAACAGCTTTTTCAAAAGTTAAAAGTCTTTAACACCAAATGAGCTATCATTACTGTCAGCACAATGATACTAGCTAAACTCTTATTGGTCCTATAAATGGGTTCACTTAACGAAATTTTCTGGGAAAATGATTCATCGCGCTTCTCGAGAGCTGTGATTTGCATCTTTTGATTCTTTACTTCTTCAGACAATATCTCAGTTGTCTTGCTTAAATTCTCAACGACCTGTGAAAGACAATGTTAGCTTAAGAAAAAGAAATCAGTAGGAACGAAACGGGTTGTTTTATTTTTCGCTCCAATGAGGGACCAGTTATTATTTATCGCATGGGTGAAGGGAGTGGGGGTGGAGGATTTAAGGGAAGGATCACATGGTTTGTAATCGCGAAACTTATTGTCATACCAATGAACAAAGGCTGCTAGTTTCTAAAGAAACTGTTTGGGGCTGCGTCGGTGGGGGTAACGAAATAATTTGAATATATCAACAAAGTTGAAATGGTAAATTGGCCACCGTTACGATTACAAAAGCTGACGTTTCGAGCGTTAGCCCTTCGTCGGAGCGAATAGAGGAATTGTGGGTTGTGTGNATGAATAAAGGCTGATAGTTTCTAAAGAAACTGTTTGGGGCTGCGTCGGTGGGGGTAACGAAATAATTTGAATATATCAACAAAGTTGAAATGGTAAATTGGCCACCGTTACGATTACAAAAGCTGACGTTTCGAGCGTTAGCCCTTCGTCGGAGCGAAGGGCTAACGCTCGAAACGTCAGCTTTGATAATCGTAACGGTGGCCAATTTACCATTTTAACTTTGTTGATATATTCAATTATTGTCATACCGTTTCCTGTTTGTGTTGCATTTACGTGTTAATTTACTGTGAATGTTTGTACGTTTAATTAGTTGTATTGTCGTTGTGGTTGAGTTTTGTGCCGTTGCGTAATGTTATGTAATTTATGTCGAGTTATCAGTGTTAGGTTTTGTGTAGAAAATTTAGTCCTGTGGGTCAATCAGTTTGTGTTCACTTTTTAAGAAGCATCGCCTTCGTTCTCGTTTCTTGCCTGTACAGCTATGCAATGTTAAGGCAAATATTTTTATCTATTGTGAGTTTATTTGTAAATTTTTGTTCTATAATATATATTTTCCTACTCATGTTTAGTACCGCGGGCGTGTGGATATTTTATTAAAAAGTAAGTTAGGAGGGATCAGTCATCGTCAACAGAGTATAAAGGAGGACTATAGAAAATAGACTGTCATAAGAATATTGCAGAAACTTACTGGGAAATCAGATGAGTTTTATCGTGACAACCAAAAAATTGCTCCAGCCCTCCCCCACCCCAGCGAAATACAATGACCGGTCCTTACGTATGCTAATGGTGATAATGAAAATAATGATGAGTCTTGCTCTACATCACTAAAGTTATGAACCGATAATGTTAACATTAATTTAAAACTAATTTTCGCCTTACGAGAACTAACCTCTTGACAAGGGGATTTCGTCTTTTTGTTATGGCTTTGAGAAGTTAAATTCAGCGACCATTCATCTGCTTTGTAAGTGCCTGTAAATGACGTCGCCACACCAAACCTTTCGTATATCTTCCTATCAAAAGAAATCCAAGCATGAGCTTGTCAATTTAATCTTTTTATCAGCTTGTAGCGAGTCAATGGATCAACAAGACAATATTTTCGATCGGTTCTCGTCAGTCAGTCACATTCCAAGGAAAAGTGTCCGAAATTTATAAGGACGAAGGAACTAAAGAGGTTAGGAGATGTCACACAAACTCCTCCTTTTTGAACTGAAGATATATGTTGATAAAAAAGACATTTTTTATAATTTCTTTAGTGGTCCAGCCAATAGATTGCAGACTATACTTCTTTGTGTCATTTTACACTTGCTTAAAGGACATGTTTCACCATTTTCGATTCTCTATATATCAGTTTTCAAGGGTGTGGAAAGGCGGGGCATATTACACGCATCATGCACTTTTCTGTTTTCTTACTTGTGAAGCACTACTGTATCTCCACCGCCTGAATCACTGCCATATCCTGTTGGCCATGAGCTGATGTAACTCTTTCGTTCAATCGCATGTACTTGGTTCACGTCTCCACTTACTGAACTTTTATCCACATAGTAAGCAACCTCAAAAAAAAAAAAAAAGGAACAAAGGTATAAAGTGACTCCCCTGTCCTTTTTTCAGTTTGTATATCATATTCAACTCAGCTCTTGGAGTTTTTCCTCAAAAAAAACACTTTCATGATCAATTTACAGCTTGACGAAACGACTACTAGCGAAAAGTATCC